ATTCTAGGGGCTAGGGAGGCTGAGGCAGGAGGACCTCGAGTTCAAAGCCAGCCTCAGCAAAAGGAAAGCACGAAGCAACTCAGTGAGACCCTGTCTCTAAATAAAATACAAAATAGGGCTGGGGAGGTGCAACCTGGTTTGGGGGAAAACGGCACCAGCCGTGGAGAGGGAAGACCTGGGTTTGAGTCCTCGCTCTGCCACTCTCAGCCAGGGTGCAAGCCCCAGGTTGTACGTGACCCAAGGCTATTATTTTCACATTGTTTGTTTATTTTGGTACTGGGGCTTGAACCCAGGGGCATTTATCATCAAGCCACATCCCCAGCCCCGCCCCCCCCTTTTTTTTGGTACTGTGGATTAAACTCAGGGGTACTCGACCACTGAGCCACATCCCCAGTTCTTTTTTATATTTTATTTAGAGACAGGGTCTCACTGAGTTGCTTAGCGCCTCACCTTTGCTAAGGCTGGTTTTGAACTCGCGATTCTCCTGTCTCAGCCTCCAAAACTGCTGAGATTACAGGCGTGCACCACTGAACCCGCTCCCCAACCTTATTTATTTATTTATTTATTTATTTATTTTCACTATAGGAACTCGCTAAATTGCTTAGGGCCTCACTAAGTTGCTGAGGCTGACTTTTAACTTGTTATCCTCCTGTCTCGACCTTCTGAGTCTCTGGGATTACAGGAGTGCATCACTAGGTTGGCAAGGCCATTGTTATCAGATTCTTGTTTTCCTTCTGAGTCCATAGATAAGGAGGCAAAGTCAGGTTAAATGATTCAAAGCCCTTGACAAGAGACAAGTAGAACTGGTTTGAAAATCCTCCACCACTACCACTTACTATATTTGTGACATTGGGTACTGTTACTTCATTTTCCTGAGTCTCTGTTTTCCTATCAGTGAAATGGAGTAAATATAAGGTAAGACTTAACCTTGTCAAGCATTTGTTAAGTCAGGAGTGTCCCAAGCATATCACGTGGGTTTACTCAGATAAGTTTCATAGTAACCCAGTAGGTAAGTAAAATCTTTATCCACATTTTATGAAGAGGAAACAGAGATTACTTATTATTTATTCTTATTTATTCGAGTTTGCACAGGAGGTATGTAGCCACAATTAGAACTCAGGGATGAAAATACCACCTCACAGCATTATTGTGAGTTTAAATAACTGATAACATATATAGAAGTAAATACATGGTGAGAATAACACAAAGATGAGAGGTCATAAATGAAATTATTCTACAAGAAAGTTCTTATGTTGTATAAGAAGTGGTTATAATAGTAACTCTAGTAGACTGTGATCAGCTATAGGGATGCAGAGGGTGGGGACAGAGGATATAGCTCAATGGTGGAGCACTTATCTATTATGTGCATAGTTTAATCCCCAGCACCCAAAAAGTAAGTGTGTGTGTGTATGTGTGTGTGTGTAGACACAGAAAAGTTGTACTGATCAAAAGTAAAAATATATGTGATGCAGCTGGACTTCATAGCACACGCCTGTAACCCCAGCAGCTCAGGAGGCTGAGACAGGAGGATTGTGAGTTCAAAGATAGACTCAGCAAAAGTGAGGTTCTAAGCAACTCAGTGAGACCCTGTCTCTAAATAAAATACAAAATCAGGCTGGGGAGGTGGCTCAGTGGTCGAGTGCCCCTGAGTTTGAATTCTAATACCCATAAACAAATAAATAATAAAGGGCTGGGGATGTAGCTCAGTAGTAGAGGATCCCTGGATTCAATCTCTATCCTCCCCCCAAAAGAGGTAGGGATGCACCTCAATAGTAGAGCACTAGTCTAGTATGTGTGACACCCTAGATTCAATCTCAAATACCATTTAAATAATAATATATATCATGTAAACACCAAGGATAAGAAAGTTTCCAAATAGGGAGGATTATTGAAAAGAGAATTTTTATGACAAAAGTCTCAGTTCATTAATTAAAGATAACAGTTCTTAGTATGCATCTAATAAAAGAGTTTAAAAAAACATGAAAACAAAAAAAAATGGATAGAACTAAAGAAGAAAATAGAAAAATTCCATTATTACAGTTAGAGATTAGCCTTTCAGAAATTGACAGAACTTGTATATACATACAAAATTGGTAAGAAGCCCCATGGGGTGGTGTACACCTGTAATCCCAGTAACTCAGGAAGCTTAGACAGGAGGATCCCAGGTTCCAGGTTAGCCTCAGCAATTTAGCAAGACCCTGTCTCAAAACAAAATATAAAAAAGAACTGAGGATATAGTTCAGTGGTAGAGCACTCGTCGGTTAAATCCCAGCAGGAAACAAAACAAATCAATAAAGACATGGAGGATTTGAGTAATATTAATGACCAAATGGATCTAAATTTATAGTTATCAGAAAATACACAAAACAGCTGCAAAGTACACATGTTTTCTAGTGCAAAGAGAATATCCATTCAAGATAGATTCCATGTTGGACTACAAAAATAAAAGTGTCAATAAATTTCAAAGTATAATTTTTTATAAGTAATTTTTTAATATTTATTTTTTAGTTTTAAGTGGACACACTATCTTTATTTTACATTTATGTGGTACTGAGGATTGAACTCAGTGCCTCAAGCATGCTAGGCGAGCACTCTACCACTGAGCCACAACCCCAGCCCATGAGTAATAATTAATGAGGTGGTTTGGTTATTTGTTTCATATTCTGTGGATTTTCTGCATTCTCTTATGCTAACATGAGGCATTTCTTTTTTCTTTTTCTTTTTTTTTTTTTTTTTTTTTTTGGTGGTGGTGCTGGAGATTGAACCCAGGGCCTTATGATGCTAGGCAAGCCCTCTACCAACTGAGCTATATCCCCAGCCCAACATGAGGCATTTTCTTCCAAGTCTGCAAACAATTATTATTCGCTTATTAGGCTTTCAGATATCTTGCCAAGATTAAGACAGAGTTCTTCAATCCCCTACCCAACTGAGTTACTTAAACAGAAATGGCAAGGAATAATAAGAGCTTGAATTTAGTCTCCCTATTCTGCTTTTTGCATTTTATTTGGAGATAGGATCATATTAAGGTGCTTAAATCCTCTCTAGAATGCTGAGGCTGGCCTTGAACTTGAGATCCTCCTGTCTTAGAATCTGGAGCTGCTAGGATTACAGGCGTGTGTTTACCGGATTACAGGCGTGTGATTACCGGATTACAGGCTTGTGTTACCACGCATGGATAGTGTGCTTATTTTTTTAAATATATATGTATTGATTTATTTTTAGTTTTAGGTGAACACAACATCTTTATTTTTATGTGGTGCTGAGGATCGAACCAAGTGCCTCATGCATGCTAGGTGAGCATTCTGCCACTGAGCCACAACTCCAGCTCCTGGAGTCATTTCTTATCACTAGAATTTATTTAGGTTATGGCTCCTGGACGCAGGACAATGCCTAGCAGAATAGAGTGCTTGGAGATCTATCATTATTGAATGATGAATCAAATGAAATAAAAAGGGTGTAGACACCAAAACTGGTAGAGACTGAAAAAAAATACAACCTTAGCCATTGGAGTTTTATATTTGTTGCTATAATATTTGCACTTCAGAAGAGGGGCTTTGGGTTTATATTTGCATAACAAATTGGCTCAAAAAAATAATTGACCTAGAACAACAGTCTCATATCAGAGTTGAGCTCTAATTGAAACAACACAAAGCACAAAATCACTGGCCGCTTTGAAATCACACACCCACCTCTTTCTCCCCGCCCACAAGGTTTACCAAAAACTCTTGGGCGGTTCCCCCCCTGGCTAAATGTTGACGGCTATTTAAATGGCCAATTGCCATTTAGGTGAGAGTGCTGCTTGCTTGGTTTCAGAAGAGAAGAAGGTGACTTTCACCTTGTGCAACTAGATGCTACACAGGTAACGTAAAATGGGCATTGGGGTACTGGGGTACTGGGGATGAAGTGGAAGGAACACCCCTTAATTTTCTATCAGAGCCACAGGAGCCACCCCAAGTAAAACTTCAGACTAAGAGCCCAGCTGGGTGCGGTGGCGCACATCAGTAATTCCAGAGGTTCAGGAGACTAAGGCAGGAGGATAGCAAGTTCAAAACCAGCCTCAGCAATGGTGAGGCGCTGAGCAACTCAATGAGGTCCTGTCTCTAATAAATTACAAAATTGTAGCTCAGTGGTTGAGTGCCCCTGAATTCAATCCTTGATACTAACCCCTACTCCCCCTCCAAAAAAAAAAAAAAACAACAAAATTTAAGACTAAGATAACTGAATTTAGCTGGGATTACAAGCCTGCATCCCTATGCACCGCTCTGTTTCTTCCTCTTAAATGAAAAGTGGGAAATAAGGCTAACACTGAAGGGCCTAGAACACCAGGGGTATAGCTCTAAACCCTTAAGTCAGGCTATCGGTGCCCGTAGGTGTGTGCAACCTGGTTTAGAGAGAAGCAGATCGATTGGGGGAGGCCAGAGTGCCAGCTTTCACAGTTCAGGAAGGAAAGATAGTATAGAGTCTAGAAATGGAAGAGAAGATAAATTTATCCGGGCCTGGTGGTACATGCCTGTAACCCCAGTGACTCCAGAGACTGAGGCAGAATCTCGAGTTGGAAGCCAGCCTCAACAATTTAGTGAGGCCTTCAGCAATTTATGAAGTCCCCGTCTCAAAATAAAAGATAAAAAGGGCTGGGGATGTGGCTCAGTGGTTAACTGCCCCTGGGTTCACCCTGATACAAAAAAAGAAAAAAAAAAAGAAGAAAGAAAGAAAGAAATTTTAAAAGGTGAGAAAAAGAAGAAAGATAGACAAGAGATGTATTGGTCAGAGGTATCTGATTGGGCCTCCGGCAATCAACTTCCCCTATGCAAGTCACAGAATTGCATAGGGTTCTGGTGGACTTGTTTATGGTTGGTTGTATTGCTTTTGGCCGAGAAGATGCAAACTGTTATGTGCCTCTTCAAAATAATAGCCCCTGGTTTCTGTCTACTAGACATAGCATAAAATAGAAATTATGAAGGCACTGTGTCTTTTAAAAAAAATCCCCTTTTGTAGCACTTCCTTAAAAACAGCTATTTAATGCAACTCGCCAGCGTGTTCTTGATAGTGATGTCTTGACAATTGTGATATTAATGGCACATCTTTATAAAGGGTTGAAGCGTCTTCCTGGTAAGTACTCAGCTTGTGTTTTTCAAGATACCTTGTAAGAACTGTTCAGTTTTCTCCTTTGGGTGAATGAGTGTTTCTCAGGCTTTTGTCCTATTGTCCTCCTATTAAGTTGCAAGATATATTAAGTCACAGAAGCGGTCAATAATGTTTTCAAGGTTTTTTCCCCTTCCCTTTGGGTTTGTTACTTTTAAGAGTTGTGATAATTTTCTGGAGTATTTTAGTGTAAGACAGCAGGTTTATTTAATTATATAATTCAAAATACAACATTCAGTGCTTCAGTGCTTATGAGTCAAGGAATTATTAACTGAAAGTCACTGATGCAGCTTTTAAAAATTATCCACTACTGATAATATTCATTAAAGATCATAGTTCAAGCAGTGATTTATGGATTTTTTTCTAACTTCTTTTAACTGACTTGAGACAGTGATTTTAAAAAGCTAAATTGAATTTGATTTGATTTTTGTGGTTCTAAGGATCGAACCCAGGGCTTCACACGTGTTAGGCAAGCACTCTATCCCTGAACTACATCCCCAGCCAATAGAATAGAATGTTATTGTTTGACAGATTGTATATTTGGATATGTGTAATATTGACAATAGATTACATCTCCTAATTTACAATGTCTTGTTGTATTAGTATTTAATATGAAAGAGTAAGTTCATTGTATTTGCAGGATAAATGTAGGAACTTGTATGAACAGTTGCTGGATTTGTTCACTGAAATGATAGGCAGTATTGGGCCCACTACATTTATTATGTTTCTTAGGTGGGTTGGTTTGTGCCATTCTGTAGAAAGTTGAGTTAAAAAGCATTTTAAGCATTGGTTGGTGTGATAATTGTCTATTGAAAGCAAAACCTAATTCATTTAAAGAAATAAGGCAATAGATAATGTAAAATAACCTAGGATTCAAGAGATTCTGTGAATTGGCTGCATTGGTTAAATTTTATTTGTAATGTAAATCCATTTGTCATGAAAAAAAGAGAAGTCTTGTGAGATTCTCAGAAGGCAAAAAGGGTTTTTAAAAGTCCACTATCATAAAGGAGGGCTATGCTAAGAAATAGGATTTCGATTGTCAAAACTTTTAAATACTCAAAATGTTTAAAAAGATTTTGAAGTACTTGAAATTCCTAAACTATATCCCTGAGTTATTTCTATATTATCAGTGAAACAGTGTGGAAAATTAGCCTTTATTTTTTTAACGTTGAATATTTTTTTTAGGTTTTTTTTTTTTTTAGTTGTTCATGGACACAATACCTTTATTTATTTTCCCTCCTGCAAGAGGGAACCCAAGGCCTCAAATGTGCTAGGCAAGCACTCTACTACTGAGCTATTAACTCTTTTTTTTTTTTTTTTTTGGTATCAGGGATTGAACTCAGGGGCACTTGACCACTGAACTACATCCCCAGCCCTATTTTGTATTTTATTTAGAGACAGGGTCTCACTGAGATGCTTAGCACCTTGCTTTTGCTGAGGCTTGCTTTGAACTCACAATCCTCCTGCCTCAGCCTTCAGCTATTTTCATATTTTAAAAGTTGTAAAGAGGGCTGGGGATGTGGCTCAAGCGGTAGTGCGCTCGCCTGGCATACGTGCGGCCTGGGTTCGATCCTCAGCACCACATACAAATAAAGATGTTGTGTCCGCCGAAAACTAAAAAATAAATATTAAAAAAAAAAAGTTGTAATGATAGAAGAGTAATAGAAATATTTGTAGGAAATTCTCAAAGAAAATTCAGATGGTATTTTGGTTTATATGACATTTTCAGAAAATATTTTTAAATAAGATTTTTAAATTCAGAATCAAATTATAAATGCTTAATTTTTAATATTTAACTTTTTTCAGAATTGCCACTTAATTAATGAAGCCATGGTAAGTTGACATTTTAAATCTTTATTCTCCATTTTAAAAACAAAATATTTGGATCAAATTAAGCAATTTGAAGTCTTGGAGACATACTTTAGAAATTAACATGATTTTCAAGTAATGATTCACGATTCTGTTCCACTAAACATGTTTTCTTGACCTCTTTTTTTGCCTTTATTCTTTCCTTTCTTTCTAAATTTTATTTTGTTGACCTCTTTTCCTAAATCAGCTTCCTCAAGTCTGATTCCTTGTTAAATTTTTATAAGAATGCTAAATATTATATTCTAGGATTAATACTTTTCTCTAAATACTATACTTTAGAGAAGTAGCTCTCACCTGGTATTGACTTTGTCCTCAAGGGCACATTTGGAGATAAAAGACAGTGTTTTTGTTTTTACTGAGGATTGAATCAGGGATGTTCTACCACTGATCTTGTATACCTAACCCTTTTATTTATTTATTTTATTATTATTATTATTATTATTATTATTATTAGGTACCAGGGATTGAACCTATAGGCGCTTAACCACTGAGCCATATCCCCAGCCCTTTTTTGTATTTTATTTAGGAACAGGGTCTCACTGAGTTGCTTAGGGCCTCACTGACTAGCTGAGGTTGGCTTTGAACTCATGATCCTCCAGCCTTAGCCTCCCGAGCTGCTGGGATTACAGGCGTGAGTCACTGCACTCGGCCCTTTATTTTTTTGATAGAGGGTTTTGCTAAATTCCTTAGGGTCTTGCTGAATTGCTGAGGCTGGCCTGAAACCTGCGATCATCCTGCTCCGAGTCACTGAGATTGCAGGTTTTCACCACCACATGTGACTGAGATGGTTTTGATTGCCACTGGCATCCAGTGCATAGAGAGGGACACATGCTTCTAAACATCCTCTGCACAGGACAGGCCCCCCACAACAAAGACAGCCAAGTCCAAATATCAATAATGTAGAGGCTGAAAATACTATTTTGTATCAGGAAAATTAACTTCATGGGTAATTTCAACTCCAACATTCTGCCATCGTTCCAACAGACTTCTGTTGAACAAGACAAGCTAGGTCAAGCCTTTGAAGACGCTATCGAAGTACTAAGGCATCATTCAACGGGAGATCTTCAACACTCCCCAGGTAAAGATAAGTACTTACTCTCTTCGGCTGGTAGGTCACGTGGCTGGTTGGTCACATACATATGTAAGAATAAGAATAATGATCAGGGGCTGAGGGTTAGGGGGTACATCAGTGGTACAGCACTTACCTAGCATATACGAGGCCTTGAATATGAGCTACAGCATCACAAAAACCAACAAAAACAGCCCGGAAATGTTGATGACGACAATAATGATTTTGCACTGCTAAAGATCAAACCCAGGGCCTCCCACAAACTGGGAAAGTGCTCTACTACTGAACTGTGCCCACAACCGGGGAACACAATTTTCATCTAAAGCACCTAGGATTAATTTTAATGAATGCAAAACATATACAGGGTTATTTAGGCTAACTAAATTTCAAGTCTCACATACAAAAATGAAGAGATAGAGAATGACATTCACATAAGAATACAAATACATAAAATGATTTATTTTTAAGAATGACTGGTGTATTATAATTTCTTTTACTGAGAAGGCCAGATGGGGGCCTCTGAGCCACTGAGCTACATCTCCAGTTCTGAGGCAATCCTCCTGCCTTAGCCTTCCTAGTCACTAAGATGACAGGCATGCACCACTGTGCCAGGCTCAAACTTTAAAAAATTTAAAGAAACTTAGGATGTAGCTCAGTGGTAGAACACTGCAAAAATACACAAAAAAGAATGTCTAGTTGGGACTTATTTGTCTAATTGACATTTTAATTACTCAGGAAAGACTTTTTAATTGTTCTAATTTATCTCACACACCTTTCACCCACCCAACAGATAGTCTATTTGGAAAAAGATGTATTCCCCCCCCCCTCACATTTTCTACAGACTATCTAGTCTAAATAAGATGCAGATAGGTTGCTTGTTGGGTTTATCCAGGGTATTTCAAGAGATTTCCAAGATAAAAGAAATTATGGTGTCTCAGGCTACGTGGAACATTGCTCTAAAAAGGGAAATGGATTGTATTAGAAAATATAATTCTTGCATAATGGAATAAACACCATAGGGAAAGTACAAAGTGGTAAGAAAACAGGAGACAGTAATTGAATATGTAAGCACATGTGTATGCTTTGACTGCCTATATCTACATATACATAAATATAAATACAAATAAATATATGTGTAAATTTTGACTTTCTGTTTCTATTTTTAACTTAGATTACAAAAATTACCTGACTTTCATTAACCATTGTCCTCACATCAGAGGAAATTCCAGCTACTATGGAGTGTGTCCTACAGAGGAACCCATCTATAATTGGAGAACTGTGATAGTGAGTATCTTTATCAAGTGATCACATTACCAAGAAGCAGAGAGGATTAAGCTCAGCTCACTATATAGAAACCCCCAAAGGCACGCCCTCGATGACATACTTTCTCTAGCCCCACCCAAGTGATTCTAATCAGGAGAGTAATGCACTGATTAGGTTAAGTTATCATAAACCAATCATTTCACCTCTAAAACCTTTCTGCATTGTCTCACACATGAGCTTTTAGGAGACACATATCCAACCATAACAGAGATGAAAATACTAAGGGCCATCAGTTGTGATCTGAACTTGACAGTCAACGTGGAGGATCAGCCCCAATGCTGTTAAGAAGGAAGCTACTCTTTGTCATTACTCTTTACTTAGTTCGAATGGACTTCTGTAAAGAGGAGGTGTTTTTAGAGTTCTCATATCACTGATTCTCCTTCATCCATCTGGAGAATTGCAAAGACATCTGGTTCCTTTAAAAGACAGGACCAAGACCCAAACTTCCTCTTCTTTTTTTTTTTTTTTTTTTTTGTGGATACTGGGAATTGAATGCAAGGGTGCTTTATCACTGAGCCACATCACCAGCCCTTTTTAAAATGTTTTATTTCGAGACAGAGTCTCCCTGAGTTGCTCAGGCCTTGCTAATTGCTGAGGGTGGCCTCAAACTGGTGATCCTCTTGCTTCAAACTCTTGAGCAGCAGAGATTACAGGCGTGCACGACCGTGCCTAGGCTTCTTTTTCTTTTTTATGTTGAGACAGGGTCTTGATAAACCGCTTAGGGCTTCACAAAATTGATGAGGCTGGTCTTGAACTCAGCTGCTATGATTACAGGCATGCGATACGCCACCACGCTGGGCTCAACGTTCTCCTTCTGGCTTTTCCTACAATCTTGTATGAACTTGCTCTTGCTCTGTTTGCTTTCTTGAGCTAGCTACATGTATTGGACCAATTCAATTATATTTTAGTAACCCGCCCCCCCAAAGGGAGATGTCCCCAGTATCTTTCCATTTGTGGTACATTTTTTTTGTGTGTGTGTGGTATTTGTGTGTGTCACTGGGGATTGAATCCAGGGTACTCTACCACTGAGCTACATTCCCAGTTCTTTAAAAAAAGAAAATTAAATTTTGAGACAGGTTCTTCCTAAGTTTTCCAGACTGGCCTCCTACTTGCAATTCTCTGGCCTCAGACTCCTGAGTGGCCAGAATCATGAGTGTATGTAGCATGTCCTGCTATTCTCTTCCATTGTTTTCTTCATGCAGCTGTTTTATCCAGCAGTCTTAATAAAGGTGGGGTCTAAAGGTAAAATCTTTTTTTTTTTTCTTCAATCATTACCTTCAACTATGGTATGTCCAACATCCCTTTTCTGTCCCTATAAATTGCTCTGTAGGACATTTCCATAGGACATTTAACCTTTGCTAATTTAACCTTTTCTGTTTCCACTTAAGGTTGCCAGCCAAAATGTAGAATGCCCAATATTTTTACTTACTAAATCTGGCCATCCTGCTTCCAGCTCAACTCCAAACCCCTAGCATACGCTGAACAGCCACCAGTGGTTAGGGACACCTTGTCTCCTGAGCAGCCTCTTGTGTGGGGTTTGGTAAAATGGGAGCTTGGGCTACTTCCTCCTGTCTCTTCTCTTGAATCCACCTTCCCTAGGCTGCCATCTTTATCCTCCTGTTGCCCAGATGGGCAGCCAACATCTTCCTGCCAGGTGTGGTAGCACGCATCTATAATCTCAGCAACTCTGAAGGCTGAGACAGGAGAATTACAAGTTAGAGGTCAGTCTCAGCAACTTAGTGAGACCCTGTCTCAAAACAACAGCAACAACAACAACAACAAATTAAAGGGCTGGAGATGTGGCTCAGTGGTGAAGCAGGATTGGGTTCAATCCTCAACCATCTTCCTTTTTAATATTTAACCATCTTAATTTTTTATATTTAAAACATTTAAAAAATTTTTTTAGTTGTAGATGGACACAATACCTTTATTTTATTTCTTTATTTATATGTGGAACTGAGGATCAAACCCAGTGCCTCACACATGTTAGGCAAGCGCTCTGCCACTGAGCCCCAGCCCCAGCCCTTATTATTTTTGATCTTTCTCATTGGGCATCCTGAGAGGGAAGGAATGAAACAATCCCCTCTCTTTCTCACAGGGAGAGAGGACATGGAACTCTCCTGGTGAAGCCAAAGACTAAGCTCCATCTCTTGGTCCTCTCTTTATATTGGTTTGATGTTATTCTTTAGTGGGCGCTATCTGGCTGCCATTAGGGACAGCAGCTTTTAGAATTTGGGAGATTCTTAGCATTCTTTTTGCTCTTAGCTTTTGATGTTAGCCACCAATTGGGGGCCACAGGAGAACTTCCCACTAACATTCTGTGTATTATTTACACAGAACAGTGCTGCAGACTTCTATCATGAAGGTAATATTCATCAACCTCTGCAGAATATAACTGGAAATCAGTTGGCAGAACCTGTTGTCTTCCAGCAAAAGGGAGTGAAAGGTAAATTGATAACCACACCTTCCATAGGCACAGTAACCACGTCATCCTCATAACAGGTTTAAAGAGATTTCTGTATCTGTGTTTGAAATTGTATTTACAAAATATTCCCTTATAGCCAGCCTGTACACTCTGTACTTGGAAAATTGAGGTGGGAGGATGGATTGAGTCCAGAAGTTTGAAACCAGCCTGGGCAACATAAGGAAACTTCATGTCATAAAAAAATAAAAGGAAAAATTATCTCATTACAATAGTGATGATTTAACTCTCCCGAGTTGCTGGGATTATAGGTGTATGTCACTGTGCACATGCAATTTTTAAAATTATACATTATATTACTGATTGATTGGTTGATAACAGGGATTGAGCCCAGGAGCACTTAACCACTGAACCACATCCCTAGCCCTTTTATTTGGAGACAGGGTCTCACAAAATTGCTTGGGACCTCCCTAAATTGCTGAGGCTGGCCTTGAATTTGTGATCCTCCTGCCTCAGCCTCCTGAGTTGCTGGGATTACAGGCATGCACCACCACGCCCGGCCAAAATTATACACTATTTTAAATGAACATACAAGGGATTGAACCCAGGGCCTCACACATGCTAGAAAGTGCACTAACACTAACATATATCCTTTTTAAATTTAATTTTGAGATAGGGTCCAGCTAAATTGCCTGGGTTTTGTTGTCCTTGTTGTTTTTGTCTGTACCAGGGATTTAACCCAGAGGCACTTAACCACTTAACGCCCTTTTAAAAATATTTTATATTGAGACAGTCTCATTAAGTTATTTAGGGCCTCACTAAATTGCTGAGGCTAGTTTTGAACTCATGATCTTCCTGCCTAAGCCTCCTGAATTCTGAGATTACAGGTATGTACCACCACGCTTAGCTTAAAAGAATACATATTTTGGACTGGGATTGTGGCTCAGTAGTAGAGTGCTTGCCTAGCAAGTGTGAGGCACTGGGTTCAATTCTCAGCACCACATACAAACAAGTGAATAAAATAAAGATCCATCAACAACTAAAAAAATGTTGAAAGAATACATATTTTTAAAATTGTACAGTAGTATACTATACCCTAGAATCGTAAAATTCTAAATATACATTAATACTCTAATCCAGCAAGGAATTACATATAAAATTAAACAAAATCAAACACTAGGGAGTGAAACCAGTATTTTTTGTGTCGTGGAGTTGTGCCCTTAGGGAATACATCACCTACCGTTTTCTGTTTTTAGATTTTAGTCTTCCATTTGAAATAGGGACACATTTGAAATGTGATGAAATATAAAGTATTTTGGGTCTTTGTTCTAAGAAGGAAAATTAGTAGACCCATAAAGTAGAACATATATAATTGTTAAAAGGCTTGAAGGCATTCTGCATGTATTGATACAGAAAAATACTGTAAAATACATTTTAATTATTTTAATTCCATAATTCAAAAGTAATACTGACTCTTAAATTTTTGTAATTGGAACTATTCACAAGTATGTAAAGAATAAGTATTCATTCTCTTCTCAGGTTATACCCAAAGTAATTCACCATGCTCACCTATTTGGTATTTAATCTACCAAATAGAATTTTTAGTTTCAGTTCATACTTTTGATCATTTTTATTTTAAAAAATATTTTTGTACTGGGGATTGGACTCAGGAGCATTTAACTACTGAACCAAATCCCCAGTCCTTTTTATTTTTTATTTTGAGACAAGGTCTCATTAAGTTGCTTAGGATCTCCCTAAATTGCTGAGGTTGGCTTTGAACTTTCGACCCTCCTTCCTCAGGGTCCAGAGTCACTAGGAATACAGGTGTGTGTCACCATGCCTGGCTTCTACCCCCCTTTCTTAAGGAATAAAAATTTATACATTTTTCAAAAATTGAGAACAAATTTTAGAAGATAATGATCTCTTAAGACCAACAAGATAACTGGATAAGAGACAGAAGAGTTTTACTTAGTGCTGTGACTTTAATTCATGATGTGTTTTTGGTAAGTCCCTTGCATTTCTCAATTCACCAATTCAAAATAATATAATGCAAATGATAATCTCTGTGAAAGGTTTGTGGCTTTGGGATGAGTGATGACTGATGCAAGAATTTTACTCCCCAGAGACTGATTAAAGGAGTTTGGGAATCAAGTATTCTATGTTCGCAAGGGAAAAATGGAATTTGTTCATGGATTTTTTTCAACAACTGATGGATCTGTGGGAGCCTTATAGTTACAGGCTAATTCATAAGTCACAAAACAAGCTATGGCTTTTGTTTTCCTGAGTTTTCTATTAGGCCAAAGAATTCTTATCAGCTGGAAAACAAAAAAATAGAAATTCTCTCAAATTTTCCTGCCAAGTTCTTTTGAAATATAAATGGCTGCCTTCACGAAAGGGTGCAAAACTTTGGTACCATTTTATTTCATGGCAATAGAAAAATCAAAATCCCTTTTGTCATTGCTCTTGAATAATGGCATACATATATATATATATATATATATATATATATATATATATATATATATTTGCATTTCTACTCCTGTATGTATTTTGTTTTTGTTTTTGTACTGGGGATGGAACCCATGGGTACTCTACCACTGAGCCAAATCCCCAGCCCTTTTTATTTTTTATTTTGTGACAGGGTCTCACTATTGCTTAGGCTGGCTTTGAATTTTCAATTCTCCTGCCTCAGCCTCTGGAGCTGCTCGGATTATAGGCATGTACCACTGCACCTGGCTCTATTTGTATTTTTCAAGTCATTGTGCCACTAAATCCAGAGTTGGCATCCTGGCCTAAGTTGTTATGAATAATTCCCTTAATATCACTTTTTATTTGCATCCTGTTTTCCATGTTACAAAGTGCATTTACATCCTTTAATTCATTTGAATAAGGATTCCTTCAAAATGTCATGCTTTCTAGAAAAGGCCCTTGAGACATCTCTTTAAAAATACTGAACTTTGCTTTCCATTTCGCTCAGCTTTGTTCTCTAGAAAGCTTAAGATACGACATAAAATGAGAAGTCAGGATGTAACTGAGAAGAAAGACCACATAACAAATGGAGCTCCCAAGTAAAGAGGCTCCGGGATTCCCTGTTCCAGCAAAAGACAGTGCAAATCTTTGGACAAGTTCCACCACAAGAGAAGGTCCAGTTGCAACCTCAGTAGGCCAAATAGGTCTTTGACTTTTAAGTTCTACAAAATTAAGCCATAAATGCATTTCTAGGAGGGTAGGAGGAGGAAAACCAGTGCCAAGTCAGCTTTTAATGCTGTTGTTACTCCACAAATCCTTCTGAGGAGGTTCTGATGTTGTTTCTCTCCCTTGCAGGCAGAAAGAAGCTCAGGCTGTTTGAATACCTTCATGAGTCCCTGTGCGATCCTGAGATGGCCTCCTGTATTCAGTGGGTAGATAAAACCAAAGGCATCTTTCAGTTTGTATCCAAAAACAAAGAAAAACTTGCTGAACTTTGGGGGAAAAAAAAAGGCAATCGGAAGACCATGACTTACCAGAAAATGGCCAGAGCCCTGAGGAATTACGGAAGAACTGGGGAAATCACCAAAATCCGAAGAAAGCTTACCTACCAGTTCAGTGAGGCTGTTCTCCAAAGACTCTCTCCACCTCATTTCTTGGGTAAAGAAATTTTCCAGTCACAGCCTGTTCAACCTGATCAAGAATATCTCAGTTTAAGTAACTGGAATGCCAATCACAACTATGCCTATACCAATTACCATGAGCTAAATTACGTTGATTGCTAAACATTCTCTCTCATTTCCCCATTGCCTGGCATCAGAAAACCCTAGAAGCTTCAGGATTTCTCTCTGAAAGCAGTTGGTCCTCCATACCCACAGGTTCCACATCCATGGACTCAACCAACCACGGATGGAAAATATTTGAAAAAATGAATGTTTCTGTACTTTACATGTCCGAGCTTATTTTCTTGTTATTTTCTCCCAAATGATACGGTAAGAACTATTTAGATAACATTTGTTTTATATTGGTATTATAAGTAATCTAGAGATGATTTGAAGTATTTTAGTGGATGTTCTGTAATGCCAGATTCGTGGGACCCCCAATTGACCTCCAGGAGCCGAATCCGATGTAATCACACAAGAGTTGAGCCTGGACTCACAACTGTTCCCGACGCAGGGGTCCCAGGGAGTCCCTGTCTTTTTTTTTTTTTTTAAAGACAGAGAGATGATGTGTTTTTTTAATATTTATTTTTTAGTTTTCGTTGGACACAACATCTTTATTTTATTTTTATGTGGTGCTGAGAATTGAACCCAGAGCCCCGAGCATGCCAGGTGAGCGCGCTACTGCTTGAGCCACATCCCCAGCTTCCTGTTCCTTTGTTTAGTGAGATTTTATAGGTTTGGGGGTCACAACATCACATAGCAAATCATTCCATTCTGCGGGAAAATCAAACAGTGACTCTTAACATTGATTAGCACATTCACTGGCGGGAACAAGTTGGGTAGGGGTGATTCGTTAGTGCAAGAGGGGGATTCATTTGAACTGATTGGTTTGAACCATGAGGATGTACGTGCTAAACTACATGGTTTCCCAACACATTATCAACCACCATAAACTACTGGGGGGTCATCTGGCATCCCCAGGTATCTTCCCTGTCTCATGCTGATTGGAGGTTGTTAGGGGGTTGCTATGGGTCCTCATGTAGCCTGAGTCAGGGACACCTGGCGCCCCAGACCTCTCCTGTTATTTACAGACAAACAACTCAGCAGGGTGGGTATGTGCTTAGGAGTGCTCTGTGGGTTTTTCCAAGGACAAGGGTCAAGCCCCCTTCCTTAGGACAGGCCTTGAGGTAGAAGCTGGTTTCTCAAAAATGGAGTCATATCAGTTTCTCAGTTCCTTCCCCATTTTATATAAAGGACTTTTAGAGTCAATTTTGGTATCTGAGGGTCCTAGAACCAATTTCCCCAGAAGTTACAGAGAGAGAGAGAGAGAGAGAGAGAATTATTAACTTCAATTATCCAATTAACATTGCACTGAAAAAAAAAATTTAACTCCTTTTGCTATCTTTTATCAAATAGCATGTAGTCTATACTAACAAGGAAATTTTTCTAAAAAACAACTTTGTTTCAAATGATCAGTTCTGACCTGAAAGTGTCTTTGCTCTCAGCATAATCCATGTACTACTTTCTTCTAGATTATGTCAGTTGTATTGATTTAAGTTATATATAAATTTAAACATTTTCCTAGCAATTAGAGAAATACGAATCAAAACTAAGATTTCATCTCACTCCAGTCAGAATGACAATTATCAAGAACAGAAGCAACAATAAATGTTAGTGAGGGTATAGGGGAAAAGGCACACTCATACATTTTTGTTGGGAATGCAAATTGGTGCAAATATGGAACGCAGTATGGAGATTCCTTAGAAAACTTGGGATGGAACCACAATTTGACCCAGCTATCCCACCGCTTGTTTTATACAATAATTGTTGGGTGTAGTTAGGGAAGAATAGAGGTATTTTGTGTTATACAGGGGAAGTAAAGGGAGGGGAGGGGGTATTGGAATAGGCAGAATATTAGAATGAATTGGACATTATGCGCCTATATGCATATGATTACATGACTGATGTAATCTACATCATGTACAATAAGAAGAATGAGAAGTCATACTCCATTTATATATGATGTATCAAAATGCATTCTGACCTTATATACAAACAGAGATATGATAAATTGTGGTATATTAAAATTGCAATGCAAAAAAAGAGAGGTTATGTATAATGGCATATTTTGGTGTGAACATACTTTATATACAGAGTTATGAAAAATTTTGCTGTGAATGGATAATTATAAATGTAATGCATTCCACGATTGTCATGTATGTAAGAAATAAATAAATAAAAGAAGTATAGGTAATAAAAAAACAACAAAAAATGCATTCTGTTGACATGTATAACTATCTAGAAAAAATCAAAAACATTTTCCTATCAGGTGAAAAAAATCATTCAACAGCTAGGCACAGTGGCACATGCCTGTAATCCCAGTGATCCGGGAGGCTAAGGCAGTTCAAAGTCAGCCTCAGCAAATGATTGAGACCCTTTCTCCAAATAAAATATAAAAAAGAACTGGGGATGTGGCTCATTGGTTAATCCCCCATGGTACCCACCAAAAAAATTCACAAAAAATTGCATATGATACAATGTTTATGCATAACAAAATGCATTCCTAGCTTTAAAACCTTAAGCGTATTGTTCATCTTTTGGATTATAGTAAATCTAATATGTATAAGGTGATATTGTACTTGCATTTTTCTAACAGATATTGAACATTTTTTGATATATCTGTTGGTCATTTATCTTTTTTTTTTTTGGTACCAGGGATTGAACACAGGGTCTTGCTGAGTTGCTTAGGCCCTCACTAAATTGCTGAGGCTGGCTTTGAACTTGAGATCCTCCGTCCGAGCTTCCCAAGCTGCTAGGATTACAGGTGCATGCCACCATACCTGGTTGGGTCATTTGTCTACTGAGAAACATCTATTCAAATCTTTTGCCCTTTTATAAGTAGGGATATTTGTTATCTTGAGCAGTTTGAGTTCCTTGAATATTTTGGGTATTATCTCCTGAATTCATGATTTGCAGATATTTTCTCCCAGCTGGTGCGTTCTCTTCACTGTGTTTCCTTTGCTGTGAAGAGCTTTTTGTTTGATGCAATCCCATGTGTCTGTTTTTGCTTTCATTGCTTATGTTTTGTGAACATATCTGAGCAATTTCCCTCCATGTTCTTTTTAGTCGTTTTATATTCTGGGCCTTAGTTTAAGTCTTTTACCCACTTTGGGTCAATGCTTGTACAAGTGATGAGATAAATGTTCACTTTTGTTCTTTTGTATGTGGATATCCAGTTTTCCCAGCCCCATTTGTTAAAGAGACTATCCATTTCCCATTTTTTTCTTAGCATCTTTGTTCAAAAATCTATTGACCTAATGAATTAAACAGTGCCAAAAAGAAGATATACAAAGTGGCCAACAAATATTTGAAAAAGTGTTCAACATCTTTAGCAATCAGGGAAATGCAAATCAAAACTATACTGAGATTTTTGCCTCATCTCATTTACAATAGCAATCATCAAGATTGTAAATAATAGTTGGGCATGGTGGTGCATGCCTGTAATCTCAGCTACTTAAGGGGCTGAGGCTGGAGGATATCAAGTTAAAGACCACCTTAGTAACTAACTTAGCAAGATCCTGTCTCAAAATCATAACCTTGTAATATATTTTGAAATATGGCAAAAATCAGAAAAGCTGGGGAGGTAGCTCATTGGTAGAGTAGCCCTGGGTTCAATTTCCAATACTACTACTAGTACTGCTACTACAAATAATAATAATAAATGCTGCCAAGAATGTGGGGGGAAAAGAATAACTTATACTCTTTAGGTGGGATTGAAAATTTATACAATCACCTTGCAAATCAATATAGAGGTTCCTCAAAAGACTAGGAATAGAGCCGCCCTAAGACCCAGTTATTGATAAACCTATCCTAATTGCCTCTTAAGATCAGGAGCCATCTTGTCACAAGTTATAAAGGATTCACTTCTGTTTTCTGTAAAATATTAGGATTTCTGTATAGCCTGGCTGTAATTTGATGTTGTAAAACTGCTTGGAATGCCTTCCCGTGCCGTGCCTTGAACTCACCTATGCCCGGCTTTACCTGACCAGATAACAACCATCTCTGAAACTTTAGTGGTGCCTTGTAAATCTTGACCTTCCCTGGCCAGATAATTATCCTCTCTGAGGCTCTCCCATGACCTTGATAAATTCAACCTTCATAAATTCTGATGTCGGGGCCAGCAAAATATGAACTAGCCTTTGTGTTATTCTTGTCAAAATTTTGTTATCTGTAGGTTCTCAAGCCCCCTTTGTGTAACTTTCTGTGCTATAAAGCTGTACTCCTGGAGGGCAGGGGCCTGTCTCTGGTTCCTGTGGTTTTGGGGAGAGACAGCCCAGCCGGTCGAAATAATAAGCTTGTTTTAATCTGATTTTAATTGGAGTCAGTGGTCTTTTCTTTGCATCCTGGCTTAACAGTATACCATTCCTCAATATTTATCCAAAAGAATTAAAGTCTGCATACTGTAGTAGTACATGCATACCCATGTTTATAGCAGTGTAATTCACAATAGTCACATTATGGAACCAAACCTAGGTGCCTGTCAACAGATGCATGGATAAAGATAATGTAGTATATGCACACGATGGAGTTTTACTCAGCTATAAGGAATAAAATTATGTCATTTGTAGAAAAATGGATAGAACTTGAGAACATTATGTTAAGTGAAATAAGCCAGACTTAGAAAGTCAAGAGTCATGTTTTCTCTCATATGTGGAAACTAAAAAGGGAAAACAAAGGGTGAGGGATCTTATGAAATTAGAAGGGAGACCAGTAGAGTAGAGGAAGGGAAAGAGAAAATACTAGAGAATGTAATTTACCAATTATGTTATGTAGCAATGTCACAATAAATGCAACTATTATGTGTAATTGTAATGCATAAATTAAAAAGTTAAAGGAAGGGGCTGGAGATGTGGCTCAAGTGGTAGCAAGCTTGCTTGGCATGTGCAGGGCACTGGGTTTGATCCTCAGCACCACATAAAAATAAAATAAAGATATTGTGTCCACCTAAAACTAAAAAAAAAAAGAAAAAGAAAAAGTTAAAGGAAATCAATTCCCTTTAGATATAAGGGTTTTTTTGTTGGCTTTTTATTCTATTCCTTTGGTTGATATATTGTTTTCTGCTTGTATCATGCTGTTTTGATTATTATAACTTTGTTCTTTGTGGTGGTGGTGGTGGTGGTGATGAAATTGGAAATTGAACCTAGGAGTGCTCTACCACTGAGCTGCATCCAGTTTTTGTTATTGTTGTTGTTGTCATTGTTGTTTTAAATTTTGAAACAGGGACTCACTAAATTGCTGAGGATGGTGTCTTGAACTTACGATAGCCCTGACTCAGCCTCTTGAGTTGCTAGGATTACAGTCATTCTCTAATACAACTAGCTCCCAGCTTTGTTTTTGGTCAGGAATGCTTTGCCTATTCAGGGTCTTTATAATTCCATACAAATTTTAGAATTTCTTCTTCTTTTTTCTCTTCATCCTCTTCTTCTCTTTCACCTTCATCTTTTCTTCTCCTTTTTATTTGGGGGGGGTGTGTGTCCCAGGGATTGAACCTAGGGGTGCTTAACCACTGAGCCACATCCCCATTTAGGGTAATTTTTTATTTTTATTTTTTTAATTTTTAGACAGGGTCTCACTAAGTTGCTTAGAGACTCACTAAGTTGCTGAGGCTGGCCTCAGTCTCTCAAGTTACTGGGATTATAAGTGTGCACCACCACCCAGCTAGAATTCCTTTCTTTCTTTTTTTTTTTTTTTGTATTCTGGTGAACAATTACATTGCCATTTTGACAGGGATTGTAGTTAGTCTGTGGATCAATTTGGGTAGTGCAGACATTTTAGCAATATTCTTTCAACCCATAAACAATGGGATATCTCTACATTTATTTGCATAATATTTGATTTCTTTCATCAGTGTTTTATAATTCTCAGTACCTAGATCTTGTAAATGTAAACAATTGGTTAAATGTATTCCTTTTATTTTTTATGTGTGTTCATGTATGTGTGCTGCTGGGGATTGAAACCAGGGCCTTTTACATGCCAGGCAAGTTCTCTGTCACTGAGCTATATCTCAAGCCCCTGATACTGACATTTATAAGTTGATTTTGAACCCTGCAACTTTGCTGAATTTGTTAATCATTTCTAACCAGCTTTTTTTTTTCTGGAGTATTTAGGACTTTTCTATATATAAGATCATAATAAATACTGCTGATGACATGGGGAAAAGGGAACCCTTATACACTTACTGGTAAGGATGCAAATTAGTATAGCCTTTATGGAAAATAATATGAAGGTTTCTCAAAAAAACTAAAACTAAAACATCCATATGATCTAGTAATCCCACTCCTGGGTACATACACAAAAGAATTGAACTCAGAATGCCAAAGAGACATCTGCACTGCCATGGTTAATAATATTTTGTATATTTCAGAATAGTTAAAAGAGGGTTATGAGTGGGTGTTACCACAAACATGGTAAATATTTAAGGTGATGGATATGCTAATTACCCTAAATTGATCATTATACAGTGTATATATGCATCAAAACACATACTCCAGAAATATATACAATTATTATTTGTCAAGAAAAAATAAAATTTGAGGGGATATCCTGAGTTTGTATTTTCACCCCATTTCCATTCATCGTTTATAACTCCATGGTTCTAAAAAGAGATGATGGTCAAAGAAAAACACCACCTTCTTTAGTGATAACAGTGACAGTTACGTCTCCCATAACCATTTCTTTGCATTTCCCCCTTCCCTTGAGTATACTCAGGGGTCAATGTTTCTTGCTATTCTGAAACAGCCACACAGAGGAGCTATTGCCCTGTTATCTCTTTGGCTCAACCTTGAAACAAGGTTCCTTTTGTCCTCTAAACTAGCCCAGCTGAGACCAGGCTAGAACAGTTGGAAAAGGGGGGGGGGGGGGGGGGGAAGAAAAAGAAGAAAGAAAAGACTGATAAAGACTAGAGACTAGCAATAATAAACTCTAAAGAACCCACATATAAGGCAGTGTGGCTTTTGAAAGCTGTGGCTTATTCTCCACATTCCACAGGAGCCCTAGAAAGAAACCCTTTGCTTTTACTTCCTGCTTGGCAGGGTGACACATGGGCATCCATATTATCAGAAAGCAGGAGAGCTTTCCCGATGACCTGGGCCATCTTCGGGTCAGGCCAAGAGCACCTGTGGCCTGCCCTACTGGATTTGTAGAATCATGTCTCCGGTTTTCATTTGTAGAATCATGTCTCCTGGATTTTCATACACACTAACCTCAAAGCTGGACTCCACATTTACACCTGTTGTCCCACGCAGAGAACATGCTTTCTAAAGTATTAATAAGAGCATAAATTTTACCAAAGGTTGAAAAGGGAAATTGTGACTAGGGTTTACCACAGAAATCATTCAATCACTTAATACAACTCTCTCGATAGACCCTCCTACACCCAGGGTCAACTTGAGGGTTTCATGTTGATAATTCCCACCTAACGCCCCCTCAGCTCTCACATTCCTTCTGTTAAGCAGAGTGGATGGCAAAGATCTCCATTTCGTCTTCTACTCAAAGAGGGCCAACCAAAGCCCATTTCTGCAAGCAGGTCCTTCCTCATAAAGATATGCTTAAACCAGTGCCCAGACATTAAAACCCCTATTTGTCTATTACCAAAAAATGATTCCTGTTTCAAACAGGGTCATTCTTTCTTGCCACCACCCAGGGATGAGGAAGAGACTTCATGGCCCCTTAGCCCTGATGTGTCCTTATCTCATCCTTCATTTTATTTCTTTTTTTCTGGCCGGAAACCAGTTAAACTCTTCTCTAGCCCACGAAATTCTGAGACACAAACTTCATCCACTTGCAGTGTCTGCCAAAGGCACCTTCCCATTACTTGTTCCCTTGGCCCAGACATGAAGCATTAAATATCTCCTTCTAGAAGTGTCTTTTATTTAATTATTTGTAAAGTGTAATCTTGATTTCATTTTATTTCTTAACAGCATTATTGAAATATAATTGATATACATTAAAAACTGCATGCTTAAGGTTGAGCATTTAATGAGTGGGACATATTTCATACACCCATGACCATCCCCACAATCAAGGAGGTAAAAATAACCATCACCTCAGACAGTTTTCTTGTGTTGCTTTGTTCATGTATATATGTGATACCTCTGTCCCCAGTACTAAGAACCCTTAACATGAGACTGAAGCACTTAACAAATTGCTGAAAGTGCAACAGCACGTTATCAACTCCAAGCATGGCGTGCCTTGTCTCTAGAACTTTTTCTTTTTTAAATTTTTGCATCATTGAAACTTTATGCTCCTTGAGCACTATAAGTCCTCCTTCTCTTCTCTGCCCTTGGCAATCACCATTCTCTGTTTCTGTGAGTTTGACTATATTAGCTAGTTCATGTAAGTGAAAGTATGCAAAATTTGTCCTTCTGTGACTGGCTTATTTCACTTAGCATCATGTCCTCCGGGCTCATTCATGTTGTTGCAAATGGGAGGATTTTCTTCTGTTTAAAGGCTGAATCATATTTCATGCTGTTTTCTTAATTCCTCCTTTGTGGACAGGACATTTGGGTTGTTTCCATATCTTGTCTATTGTGAATCGTGCTATAATAGACCTGGGAATGCAGCTATCTCTTTGTAATTTGTTTTCAATTCTTTTAGATGTATACCCAGGACTGGATTGTTGGATCATATGGTAATTTTATTTTTAATCTTTTTCCGGAACCTCCGTTCTGTGTCATTTACATGACTGCCATTAATGTACAAGGATTCAAATTTCTCCACGTCCTTGTCAATACTCTATCTACATTTCTATATCTATGTCTGTGTAGTCATCCTGACTGGCGTGAGGGGATATCTCATTGTGGTTTTGATTTCCATTTTCCTGCTGACTGGTGATAGCATTTGCTTTGAATCAAAGGATTCTCCTGTGAACTTGGGTGCTAGAGCTTGTCGCCCTTCTGGCTGGCTCATTCTTTTTCCCTTCAATTCTTCCTATCCATAAAGCATAAGTGAGTGCTGAGAATATTTTCTTTTTCCTCATCCCAGCTATTCTATGTGGGAAATATTCTCTGCAACATCCCTGTTCAAAGCATCTCCATTATTAAATTAAGGGGAGAAGCCCTTTCCTTTCATCTCTGCACTTCAAAGCAAAGCCTGAGCAACCACAGACTCACAAGGATAATGTCACTTCGTTATGGAATGTCATTGAAACCTGTCTCTAAAGAGCTAGAATGACTCTTGTGCTTTAATTTATATTTAAATATTTTAGTTCATATATTTTTCCCTAATTGGTACAACCTGGATAGAATTTGATTTCAATTTTTTATTTTGATGCTGTAGATTCTGATAAGAAAGATATTAATGTAAAATAAGTTTAAAGCAATTACTTCTTTTTCCTGGATTAATAAAAGTTCATGAAAACATTCTTGTTTGCTGTTTCTTTGTTTTCTGAGATGGGCTCTCACTATGTTGCCCAGGCTGGGCTTAGACTTGTGAGCTTAAATCATGCTCCTGCCTCAGCCTCCTGGGTAGTTGGGACCACAGGTTTGTGCCATCATGCCCAGCTCATGAAAAAAATTTTGATAATTAAAATAAATAAAATTTCTTTGTATTTCTTGCTCATAACTCTGAACAGACAATGATGTGGGTTTGCCTCTATAAAATGGAAAAACGTGTTTTGCATTCAAGGGATGGTTACATCTCCAATTTAGGGCTGGACTGAAATGTGAAGGTTTTGATGGATTTAAATGCAGGTAAGGACTGGGTATTCTTAGGCAACAACAGTGAGACATCCCATGAGTATGTAAAATTGTGTACCTTAAGGCCTGTTGGATCCCATAGTTTAGCGTAACCTATTATAAATTTGATGAAGAGCAGGGCATGGTGATACACGCCTATAATTCCAGTTACTCTGGAGGCTGAGTATGGAGGATCATAAGTCTGAGGCTGGGCAACTTAGTGAGACCCTGTCTCAAAACTTAAAAAAATAATATTTAAATGTTATGGGTAGAGATGTAAATCATCCCTGGGTTCAATCCC